ATTAAGGAATATACCTTCAATCAGATTAGGGATCCTACTATAATTCAAGGTATATTCCTTAATTAAGGGATACTGGTGGGGATAAGGAGCTTGACTTGAGCTATAGGGGTTTAGGGTGTTAGGGTTTAGGGCGTTTGGGTGTTGGGGTGTTGGGGTGTTAGGGTTTAGGGGCTTAGGGTGTTGGGTGTTGGGGTTTAGGGTTCAGGGTTCAGGGTTTTGGGGCTTTGGGGTTTAGGGGTTTAGGGGTTTAGGGGTTTAGGGTTTAGGCTTCAGGGTTTGGGGTTCAGGGTTTAGGCTTTAGAATGCTAGGGTTTATGTAACTTAACATAAGCTATCGGGTTTATGTTAAGGAACTTAACCTAAGTGAATATAGAGGCCTTAATAATTAGAATAGGGTTTCGGTGTCGTTATTCTTTAATTCGAATAAAGGAACCCCACAATAGTATTGGTAATTATTTAGGCCCCGCTATTGTAGGGTTTAGGGTTTAGGGGTTTAGGGTTTGGGGTTTAAGGGTGTAGGGTTTACAAGGGTTTTGAGTTACCATCATCAGCTATAGATCCCTATCCGGGTGTCGTAACCCAAATTGCTACCAAAAAAAGCAATCCTATCATATCATATACTACACACCCGTATTCATACCCTAAAGATTAGGTTCCCCAAACCCTAAACCTTAAATCCTACACCCTAAACCCTAAACCCTAAACCCCTAAACCCCTAAACCCCAAAACCCTGAAACCGAAATCCTACACCCTAAACCCTAAACCCTACATTCTAAACCCTAAACCCTAAACCCCTATAGCTTTAGATAAGCTCCTTAACAGAAGCCCAGGGGCTGCCCCCGAGGCCTCTTCGGATTGCTCCTCTTCCAGGACCTTCCGGCGGAAAAGGGCTTTACGGTTTAGGGTTTAGGGTTTAGGGTTTAGGGTTTAGGGTTTAGGGTTTAGGGTTTAGGGTTTAGGGTGGGTACTGCACTTGGGGTCCAGGGTCTGGGATCTTCGGGTTTGGGGTTTTATAGGGTTTTGGGTTTTGGGTTTCGGGTCTCAGGGTTCAGGGTTTAGGATTTTAGGGTTTAGGGCTTTAGGGTTTTAGGGTTTAGGGTTTTAGGGTTTAGGGTTTTAGGGTTTGGGGTTTAGGGCTTTGAAACAGTCGACACGAGGGGTCAGATTGAGGGCCTTTTTTAATTATGTATAATAATTCGAACGACTATAAAGCTGCTGCTCGGTGGCGGCAGCACGCAAGCTTTAAGTCTTGTAAGCGTTGAAAATAGCTTTGTTGCTAAAGGTCATGCTAATTCGACCACAAAGGCGTTATGCTTAAGGAATCCGTGAAAGGGTTCTATCCGGGCTCTTTTAATGTGTTCGTGTGTCCTATATAAAGCTCCTAAACCAGAAACCCAAAAACCCTAAGCCCTCAACCATAAACCCCAAACCCGATGCCCCAAAATCCTACACCCCAAACCCTCAAACGGCTTGACAAATATGACACTGACTGACGAATGTCCGACCGAACCGTAAACCCTAAACCCCAAACAACCTCTAGGCCCCAAAACAATCCCTAGAGTACCGTTATGGATCCCTTACTCAAAGGAAGCTAGGAACCCCAAACCCCAAAACCCTTAAACCCTGAACCCTAAACCTTAAACCCTAAACCGCAGACCCTAAACCCTAAACCCTAAACCCTAAACCCTAAAACCTTAACCCTAAACCCTAAACCCTAAACCCTAAACCGAACCCCAGAGCCGTGAGCCCTAAACGCCTTGTAGCGGTCGATCGCTTTCTCAAACTCCTCGGAAGATAACCTCGGGAGCTGTAAGGGCTCCTAGGATTTTTCCAGGGTTTCCTGTAAGGGCTTAGGGTTAGGGTTTAGGGTTCAGGGTTTAGGGTTTAGAGTTCAGGGTTTAGGGTTTAGGGTTTAGGGATCCATAAGGGCACCATAGGTTTCACGGGTTCGGGCTTTGGGTTCTGGGTCTCAGCGTTTAGGGTGTAGGGCTTGGGGTTTATGATGCCCAAAGACTCCCAAACTTTATTAAGGTATGTACCGTGTGACAGGGGATCCACATGATGATGAAAAGGTCTATCCCGTTAATGTACCTTGCATTACAAGGGGGACATAGGGGCTGAGTACCCTAGCCCAAAACATGCTAACCTTTTGAATTCGAGTATGGATATAAACGCCCCAAGGTTAACGGTTACTTGCTCGGCCCCTAAACCCTAAACCCTAACTCTAAACCCTAAACCCTAAACCCTAAACCAGTCGATCGGTTTAGGTCTCTTTTTGTCGGAGGGGGAGTGGGCTTAAGACACTTCCCGATGTGTGTGGTTCGGGCCCAGGGTTTGGTAGGGCTTCGGGATTGGGGTTTAGGGCTTAGGACTTTGGATTTAGGCTTAGGGTTCAGGTTGTAACGGCTAGGGCTTGGGGTTTAGGGCTTCGGAGTGCGCCTGTTTACCTGGAAGGTGACATTTGGGATATGTCAAACTCGATCTATACAGGACTCGAGCCATGTTCACATAATGAAAGCTGCGCATCAACCTGCATACAGAATCGAATACCGGGGATTGAAATAACGATGCAAATTGAGCTCTAAATCCCACAACTCTGAACCCTAAACCCTAAACCTTAAATCCCTATTCTCACATCCTGAGTGCATCCTCGTAACATGGACCCTAAACCCTAAACCCTGAATTTTAAATCCCTATTCTCACATCTTGAGTGCATCCTCGTAACATGGACCCTAAACCCTAAACCCTAAATTTTAAATCCCTATTCTCACGTCTTGAGTGCATCCTCGTAGCATGGACCCGAGCTTCTTGTGCAGGCGCTGGCGGACGCGTCGCTTGAGGGCTCGATTGGGTGCCTCGGCACTGGCGGCAGCGGCAGAGGTCAAGATCTCCTGCCAACCACGGTTTAGGGTTTAGGGTTTAGGGTTTAGGGTTTTTAGGGTTTAGGGTTTAGGGAAAGACTGCCAACTGGGGGTTTCAGAAAATTAGGGTACCTTACTTTGGGGTCCTTATAATAGGGATCCTATTATTTAGGGTACTATATTAGGGTCCCCTATTGTCGGAAACCCCCAACTGAAAGAAGCACTCTTCTTGTCTTTTGGGCGCGCGCCAGCTTCATGGAACAACTCATCTGTAGGGCGCAGGGCTTTACGGTTGGACAATATGGGCTCTGTGTCACGTAGCTCTGCTGTTGGATGCTATTTTGAGTCGAGGGCTTGGTGATTGAAATGCTCGGCAGCAAAGTGAAAATAGTCGGCATACACTTTGAGAAATATTACCCTAGCAACCAGGGGCACTTCACCGAAATAGCTATCCATCTGGTAAAAATCAGAGTCCTCGGGTGTCTTTCAACCTGAACCCGGTCTCCTCCACAACCGATGCCGGCAACATGCTGCCGCGCTTCATCATCACAAGAGGCTCCATGGCTCTGGTACCGACGAGATGCGGGAAGAGTGAGCTGATGGTGATTTTCACCTCAACCTTTTGAACCACCTGCTTGCTGGCAGACAGGAGCTTCCGAGGCGGTTTAGGGCTTTAGGGTTGAGGGTTTAAGGTTAGGGTTTAGGAAGTACTTTGAAGTTTAGGGTGTGGGGGTTTAGGGTTTGAGCTATCGTGCGCAACACGAAAGCCTAAGCCCAAACCCTGAACCCTGAACCCGAACCAAAAAACTGCGAACCCTACGTGCTGAACACAGCTTTAACCGTGGCGAATCGCATGATCACGAACTGCTCCAGAGTGTATAAGGATCCTTCACAATGGCCCCTCTCATACCAGGGATGTTGGAACCCGAATAGATGCCTATGTAGAAGCCCGGCATTAATCCTTACAGCTCCCTATTTCTCAGTATAGTGCAATATACCCTAAACCCTGTGCTCTGAACCCCAAAACCCTCTTCTATCCGTTACTGTATGGCCCCCACATTGCCCGTTATCGCACCCTGGAAAAGTTTGCAAAGACAACCTATGCGAGTTTCTAAAGCCAGCAAGCCCTCAATCCCAAACCCCTAAAAGCCCTCAACCCTGGTTAAGGGTTTAGGGTTTAGGGTCTAGGGTTCAACCCTGAAGCACAAACCAAACGTACTGGTGGGAAAACACGAAGAAGCAGAAGTGATTGGAGTTCTACAGCAACCTTTTATACGAGCAAAAAACTAAACTGCAACGATGACAACCAAAGTATCAATCATAATAGCAGTGGCAAAATCAACATTCGCAATAAAAGCGACAGCGACGATGGCAATGATCATCACACGATAACAACAGCGAAAGCTTTGCCCAAAACAGTCATATGAAGTTGGCACTAAGAACCCCGAAACCCAAATCCCTAAACATTAAACCCGAAGCCCTCAACACTGATCCCAATCCCTCAACCCTAAACCCCGAAACCTTAATTCCAAAAACCGAAACCTTAACCCCCAAACTCTTATCCCCAAACCCTCAACCCCAAACCCCGAACCCTCATGCCAAAACTCTAGACCCTAATCCCTGAACCAGTGAGGCCTTGGTGTCTGTACGCACTCTGGGGAATCCTCTTCCACCATTGGCTCAGCCATGGCGGCTTACGGGAGAATAGGGTTTAGGGTTGAGAAGTGGGCTCAGCGTTTGAACGCCTTTTTCTGGCGATTAAGTGCTCAGGGTTTGGGGTGTCGAACTAGATGCTAGGTTCCGGAGTGACCCCGAAATAATAAGGGTACCCTTTTTCATATAGTTGGGTTTAAAATAAGGAGACCCCAAAATAAAAGGGCAAAAGGGTACTACTCAGGAACCTAGGATTCAAGGTGAAGGGGATTTGTGTCTGCGAGGCCGTGGACGGCGGCGCCCTCCAGTTGGAAGAGCAAAGGCTTTCTACATTACACTGTCCAGCCCTGAGTGTGTATGGGGTTGGTGTTTGAGGCGTCAACAAAATCCCACCTGGGATGTTGTGTCTGGTTTGGGGAGGGGCTTGGGGCTGGGGGACTTAGGGCTTCGGGTTTAGCACGACTTATAGGTTTAGGGTTTGGGGTTTAGGGTTTAGGGTATAGTGTATAGGTGCTACTTGGGGCTTCCCGACGTACCCTTCCCTTGTGGCGGCTGCGACTTTGCAGGCTCCGGCTGCTGCTGACACATAACCCTAAGCCCTGATTAGGGTTTAGGGTTTAGGGTTTCTGCGGGGTTTCGGGGGCTCAAGATTGCATGCTGCGCAGCTTACAGCTATAAGGTTTAGGGTCTCCGGCTTTGGTTTAGGGTTTAAGGGTTTAGGGTTTAAGGTTTAGGGTTTAGGGTTTAGGGGTTTAGGGTTTAAGGTTTAGGGTTTAGGGTTTAGGGCCACCCTTAACCCTGAGCCTCCCTGAACCCCGAAAACCCTAAAGCCCTAAACCCTATATCTCAGCTCCCTGAACCCTAAACCCCAAAGCCCTAAACCCTCAAACGCTGAAGCCCTACTTGGAGATTCATGGGATTAAATAGTAACTACAGTTATGAGTACCTGATTTGGGGCTTCAAACCCTAAACCCTACACCCTAAGTTTCGGGTTTGGGCTTCCGTTGTTACTACGTCGCATGAACCCTTAAGAGCAGCCGATATCCCACATAGCCCAAGCATGAAGCTCATCCCTTGCGTCCGGGGGGTGAGCCTTGAGGATATAACAAGATGTGCTGAGGTTCTCACGGGTTTAGGGTTTAAGGCTTAGGGTATAGGCGGTTGAGGCTTCGGGTTTAGGGTTGGGGGTTTAGGGTTTGGGGTTTAGGGTTTGGGGTTTAGGGTTTGGGTTTAAGGTGTAGGGTATAGGCGATGTTTTTGAGGTTCAGGGGTTGAGGGGTTTAGGGTGGTGTTTAGAGTTCGCCTCAAAACCCTGCAGTCGATACGTGCCCATACCAAGCATGCCGTAACAAAATGCGCGCGAGGGCTTTTTGAGTGGCTTAGGGCTTAGGGATCTAGTTCTTGGATCCTTGGAGTTGTGATTAGGGATTAGGGTTTAGGGTTTAGGGCAGATCGGGTATTGTTTATACTCCTATACCCGTTTCCGATCAAGAAACACCTGCTTCCGCCTCTCTGCACAGATCACCCCTGAAAGTCTGAAACCGTAAAACCTGAACCCCTAAACCTAAACCCTAAACCTAAACCTAAACCCCTACACCCTAAACCTAAACCTAAACCCTAAACCTAAACCCTGAACCCCTACACCCTACACCCCAAACACTGAACCCTAAAGTTTCGGGTCGGCTGAGACCCGGATTCCCTGCTCTATCTATTAAAACCGCCCCATATGAGAGCATTAGCCTCAAAGTAAGTGCAGCAATAGCCCCTAAGCCCTAAGCCCTACACCCCTAAAGCCCTAAACCCGTCAACCCCTATACACCCCTAAACCCCCAAACCCCTAAACCCCAACCCCTAAGCCCTAAATCCGAAACGTGCGGAGGGCGTGAGCCTTTCTCCCGGCGGAGTAGCACTAGAAGCGCCTGTTATGCTGTTTTTGTGGGTCCATACTCACGGTTTAGGGTTTAGGGTTTAGGGGCTAACATGTCGGGCGTTTTAAGACCCTAAAACTTTACGCCCCAACCTACATAACGCCTAAAATAAGAAACTCAAAGCGCCAAAAGCGAGGTTCCGGGGCTCTGTATGTGTCCCACTCTGCTTCAAATCTTTCCTGGGGATTTTGGGGGGTTTTGAGGCTTCAGGGGTTTAGGGTTTTGGCTGTGAGGGATTTGGGGTCTCGGCTACCAATACGATACCTTTAGGGTTTAGGGTTTCGGGTTTACCAAGCTTACTATGGATCCGCATTGTGGAAGAATGAACTAAACTTCCTGAACAGGAGTCCCAGAAACCCCAAACAGAATGCCACCTCGTGGTTCAAACAGCTCCCTAAACCCTAAACCCTAAACCCTAAACCCTAAACCCTAAACCCTAAACCCCTAAACCCCTAAACCCTAAACCCTGAATTGCTAAACACCCTGAACCACCGGTCCGCCTCCCTACTCACCCAAAACAGCTCCACCACAAATTGGCTCCGAACGCACAGCTGCAAAACTAGGTTAAGGGTTTTTAGGGTTTAGGGTTTAGGGTTTAGGGCTAAACGGTTTAGGGTAACTTAGCCGAAGAAACCACTGAGCCAGGAACCTCTGCAACCAAGATTACCAGCAGTCTGCCTTTCTCGTCCTGAAAGCGAATATAAGGAAACATACCCCCGAAACTCCAATTAAGGAAGGCCCTTGAACCCTAAACCCAAAACCCTAAACCCTAAACCCAAAACCCTAAACCCAAAACCCAAAACCCTAAACCCTAAACGCGCAAGGTGGCGACGCATTTCACCCGAGCCCTGAAACGCAGAGCCCTGCACCTGGAAACCCGGAAGCCCTCACCCCTCTACAGCACTAACCTTTAGGGCTTGGGGTTTAGGGTTTGGGGTTTGGGGCTTAGGTTTTGGGGTTTGGGGTTTGGGGTTTGGGGGTTTGGGGGTTTGGGGCTTAGGGTTTGGGGTTTGGGGTTTGGGCTTTAGGGCTTGGGGTTTGAGGTTTGGGGTTTGGGGCATAGGGTTTGGGGTTTGGGGTTTAGGGTTTAGGGTTTGGGGTCTGGGACTTTGGGTTTAGTGTAAACGGCTGAAGCTCCTTTGAGCCCTAAACCCCCAAACCAGGCTCCAAGCTGTGGCGAAAAAGCCGCCAGCTGGTAAGATCAGCCTTGATACGAAGGTTTGGGGCTTTTGACAAAACAGCCTTACCCGTAATGCGCCCAAACATCCTGGAAAAGCTTGGGTTAAGTGCCCTAAACCCGACACCCCAAAACCCCTAAAAACCCTAACACCCTGAACCCTGAACCCTCTCAACTTTCATCCCTAAAAACCCTACCACCCTGAACCCTTAGGGCTTCGGTGTTGGGACCAGCTGTGGCGCTCAAGGTTGACGACTGAGGAGTGAGAGCGAAGGTTCAGACTCAACCCTAAACCCCTAAACCCCTAAACCCCGAAACCCCTAAACCCCTAAACCCTAAACCCTAAACCCTAAACCCTAAACCCTAAACCTCTAAACCCTAAACCCCTAAACAGTTTCGGGTTTAGGGTTTAGGGTTTTCGGTTTCAGGGGTTGAGAGTTTCGGATTTTGGGTTTAGGGGTTTAGGCGTTTTCGGCTTCAGGGGTTCAGGGTTGAGGATTCCGGTTTAGCGTGTAGGGTTTAGGGGTTTTCGGCTTCAGGGGTTTAGGGTTTAGGGTTGAGAGTGTAGGTGCAAAGCATTTGATTTCAACTTTAGCAGGGCGACTCCTTCACATGACGCTCTGAGCAGAGTTTGGTGGTAGTTGTTGTAGTAGTCGTTGTTGCTGCAGCAGCAGCAGCAGCAGCAGCAGCAGCAGCACTAGTAGTAGCAGTAGCAGTACCAGTAGCGATAGCTGCAGCGGTAGCAGTCGCAGTCGCAGTCGCAGTCGCAGCCGCAGTCGCAGTCGACGCCGCCGTCGCAGTCGC